AACAAAGAAATGGGTAGCAACCAAATATTGACGTGTCTGATTTGTAATGCGTAAATTACCAGAGGCGGGAGCGGGGAGTGTAGAGAGAGGGTGAAGTGGGTAAAGGGAGTCAAATCTGTAGGAAAGAAAGGCAACTAATTACACATCAGGTGGGAAGCACACAGGGAATGCTGATGTCAAAATGTAATGTTACACACCTGAAATTTATATAACGTTATTGACCAATGTTACCTCAGTAAATTTAGTTTTAAAAAGTTTTAACTAAATGATCTCTATCCTTCTATCTAGGTTGGACTCTGATCTAAAATGTTACTGGTGAATGATAAGGGTTAATATATTGTGATTAATTTGAGCCTTATATTCACAATTAGCGACAGCCAAATAATTAGATCGACCAGGACTGCAGGCTCCCTTTGTATAACTTTAGGACTTTGTAGCCATGAAAAGGTGGAAAACAGAGTGCAAATACCTTGCTCAAAATCACTTTCTTGCTACTCCCAACCTTCATGTTACTGCCTGTATGATTTTTCTTTTTTTATTTCAAATGTATAACAGTAAATGTAATAGGATAATGGACTCACATTACTCAGCTTCAACAGTTATCAAATTTCTTGTTTTATTTATTCTTCTACTCACTTCCCACCCTTCATTCAATTATTGTTGTCATTGTTCTTACTATTCCTAGGTAAAATTTACATACATTGGAAGGTACAAATCTTAGATATATATTTTGACAGATAAGCCTGAGTAATCTATATCCTATCGCAACATGAAACATTTGAATTTCCCTCCAGAATTCCCTTTCAGCCCTTCCCAGTCTTTCCCCTGCCCCACACCACCTCTAGCTGGAATCAATCTTTCTCCTCATTTTTTTTTTTTACCTTGGATTAGTTTTTGCCTGTTTTAGAACTTATATAATGGAATATCTATATGTATTCTTTTGTTTCTGGCTTCTTGAACTCAGCTCCTTATCTGAGATTCGTCCATGTTATTGAGCTTATCAGTAGTTCCCTTTGTCTTATTGCTCAGCAGCATTCTGTTGTATGAATTTATTACAATTCATTATCCACTCTTTTGTCGAGGGGCATTTTGGTTGTTTTGTGCCATTGTCAGCCATTGAATAGTAATGTCATCAGCTAGAAATGCCTGGGGGCACTTACCTGGTTCTGGTTTCTAAACCAGAGTTATGATTCCCAGGTGAAGGCCCAATTTGCTTGTAGGCTGTGTGGGAGGTGACTGAACGCTGATGGAGAGCTGGGCAAGCGGCACTATTCCCTCCTGGCCCCTCTCCCACGTACAGCGCCACAAGTAGCAATGTCGGTAGCCCCGCCCTGGCGAATACCTAAGGCTCTGCCCCTTACTATGTAAGAGGTGTGCCAAGATTAAAAAAAAAAAAGGCCCAAATAAGAGAACTGATCAAAGTCCCAGAAAAAATACAACTAAGTGATGAAGAGATAGCCAACCTATCAGATGCACAGGTCAAAACACTGGTAATCAGGATGCCCACAGAATTGATTATGGTCACAAAATAGAGGAAAGAGTGAAGGCTATGAAAAGTGAAATGAAGGAAAATGCACAGGGAACCAACAGTGATGGGAAGGAAACTGGGACTCAAATCAATGGTTTGGACCAGAAGGAAGAAATCAACATTCAACCAGAACCGAATGAAGAAACAAGAATTCAAAAAAATGAGAGGCTTAGGAACTTTGAGGACAACTTTAAAAATTCCAGCATCTGAATCATAGGGGTGCCAGGAGAAGAGGAAGAACAAGAAATTGAAAATTTATTTGAACAAATAATGAAGGAGAACTTCCCCAATCTGGCAAAGGAAACAGACTTCCAGGAAGTCCAGGAAGCTTAGAGCCCCAAAGAAGTTGGACCCAAGGAAGCACACACCAAGGCACATCACCATTACATTACCCAAGATTAAGGATAAGGAGAGAACTTTAAAAGCAGCAAGAGAAAAGGAGACAGTTACCTACAAAGGACTGTCCAACTAGAAGACTATCAGCTGATTTCTCAGAAAGAAACCTTACAGGCAAGAAGGGGCTGGAAAGAAGTATACCAATTCATGAAAGGCAAGGACCTACATCCAAGAATACTCTATCCAGCAAAGCTATGATTTAGAATGGAAGGGCAGATAAAGTGCTTCCCAGATAAGGTCAAGTTAAAGGAGTTCAGCATCACCAAGCCCTTATTATAGGGAACATTAAAGAGACTTATCTAAGAAAAAGAACACGATCAAAACTATGAACAGTAAAATGACAACAAACTCACAAGTATTAAAGACTGAACCTAAAAAAAAGAAAAACAAAAACCTGAGCAAAAAACTAGAACAGGAACAGAATCACAGAAATGGAGATCACATGGAGGGTTATCAGCGGGGAGGGGGGAGAATGGGGGAAAAGGTACAGGGAATAAGAAGCATAAGTGGTAGGTACAAAATAGATGGTGGGGGGGGTAAGAATACTATAGGAAATGGGGAAACCAAAGAACTTATATGTATGAACCATGGACTATGAACTAAGGGGGGGATATGTGGGTGGAAGGGGGTGGAGGGGAATAAAGGGGGGAAATGGGACAACTGTAATAGCATAATCAATAAAATATATTAAACATAAATAAACAAATAAACCAGTGTTAGGACTGACCGAACCTTGTGGTTTTTCATTATCATCACAATATGCTCTTCAGCAATAAACATTAGGAAGCTTTGAAGAAAAATGAGTGTATTACTTGTAGGACCTAGAATGGACAGGGCACTTCAGGGCTTACACAGATCTATTGTGTAGCTGGCAATGTGTGTATCTGAGATAGCCTTTTTGAAGCAGATGCCTCTCTGCAGTATATGCCTTCTCAATCAAAGCTCATTAGGCACTTGACATTACCAAAGAAAAGCTAACTGTCAGGGCTTGCACTGCAGGTCTTCTCTAATTTTGTGCTATTGTAAATGAAGTTGCTATGAACTTTCTTGTATGAATTGTTTCATAAACATGTTTCCATTTCTGTTGGATAAGCCTTTGGGAGTGAAATTACTGGGTCTAAGGATAGGAATATATTTAGCCTTAAAAGAAAACAGCCAATTTTCCAAAGTGGTTGTACCAGCAGTGTGCGAGTGGTGCAGCTGCTCTGCATCCCTGCTCACATTTGACACTGTCTATCTTTAGTTTTAGCCATTCTCGTGAGTATGTAGTGGTATCTCGTTGTGGCTTTTGTTTGTATTTCCCTGATGTCTAATGATGTTGAACATTTTTTCATGTGCTTGTTGGTCATTCATGTATTATAGTTTGTCTGTTAACAAAGTCTTTTGCCCATTTCTAATTGGGTTGTCCTTTGGTTGTTGGGTCATAGTAGTTCCTCATATAGTCTAAATACAAGCTCTTTGTCAGAGGTTGTGAATGTTTGCTCCCACTCTGTGGCTTGCCTGTTTTCTTTAAATAGTGTCTTTTGATGAGCGAGAGTTTTTTTATTTTTTATTGAGTCTAAGTTATCAACATTTTTGATTATCAATTTCTGTGTCCTGACTATGAAATTTTTACTTATCTTCAGATTGAGGATATATTCTGTTTTATTTTTTCTAAAAGCTTTGTACCTTTAGCTCCTATATTTAGGACTATAGCCCATCCACCTGAAATTAATTTTTGTTTATGGTGTGAAGTTCAAGTTGAAGTTCGTTTTTTTTCATATGGATATCCAGTTCTTGCACCATTTGTTGAAAAGACTTTTTCTCCTATTGAGTGGTTTTGGTGCATCTGTTGAAAAGTAGTTGTCTAACTGTGGGGTTTATTCCTGAATTCTCTTTCTTTCCTTTGATCTACTTGTGTTCCCTTATATCAAAACTGCACTGTCTTGATTACTGTAGCAAATCTTCAGGTGGGTGGTATAAATTATACAACTTTCTTGTTATTTTTCAATATTTTTTTGGCTGTTCTAGGTCCTCTGCATTTCTGTATAAACTTTAAAAGCCACCTTGTTTATTTTTATGAAAAAGCCTACTAGAATTATGAATTATAAATTATTGGGGGGAGAATTAAATTCTTAACAAAGTTGAACCCGTGAACATGGTATATGTATTTCCTCACTTATTTAGGCCTTCTTTAATTTTTAGAAAAAATAAAACAGAATATATCCTCAATCCAAAGATAAGTAAAAATTTCATAGTCAGGACACAGAAATTTATAATAAAAAATGTTGATAACTTAGACTCAATAAAAAATAAAAAAACTCTTGCTCTCAGCAATGGTTTAGCTTTTAGTGTGGACACTTTGCATGTCTTTTGTTAAATATGTTGTTAAGTATTTTTTATTTGGTGCTATTATACATGGATTTAAAAATTTTTATTAGAATTTTTTTCTAGGTAGTGTGTAGAAATACAATTGATTATATATATTAATCATACCCTGAGACATTACACTTACCAAGTTTTTAACTCACAGTTCCTGAGCACCAATGACTTTTTCCCTTCACGTTTTAACGTGGGTTTTTAGACTTGAATGTCCTTGCCTCTCATGTCTGCCCCAAAAGAGGGCTGGTGCGAACACCTCAGCATTTGTGAAATCTTCTTACTTCACAGTTGGTTTCAAAAAGTTCCTCCTAGGAAAGTCTCTATTAGAACACTTTTCACTGAATGAATGAGCCATTCTTTGAAGTCAAGAGCTGTACTTTATCTCCATGCCATCCCCACAATTCCTAGCACAGTGCCTTTGTTCACAGTTGAGGAGTACATCTTTCCAACATTTATCTCAGGAGGGATGGGAAGTTATGTAGCCCTGGGGTGGGGAGGGGGGAGGGGAAATCCTTACAGGCATCTTTAGCCAATTGGAAACAGTCCCTGAAATGTGTTTTAGAAAAGGAAAATAGACTTTCTATCAAAAACATACCCTGTGTTCTTCCTTTTTAAAGATAGGTTTACTAGTGCATGATCAGCTACACTCTAAATGACTTAGGCTTTTGCTGTCAGTATTTAATTTCTGTAAATTGTGTTCCTTCTTGTTTTCTAGGTGGCCGACTGTGCTTGGGACGAAACGATAAAGATATATGATCCTCTTTGTCTTACCGGGCCTGCTTGAGACGTACTATGAGACGTCTACCCTGGTCAGAAACAGAGGATGTTGGCTGAAGAACTGCTTACCAGGAAATAAACTGACTGTTGATAACATAGTCATTATTATGCCTTTACATGCTGTTCAGATTTCAAATTTTATAACTTTACCCTGAACTAGTTTTGAGGCAGCTGATCAAGACTGGCTCACCACTTAAGCCTCATGCATAAGCCATATTTGTTAAAATTCTAAGGAATAATTGATGTTATAGTATATCTTATAGAATCCATGAAAATATAACCTCTCTGTTATAAAATGAATGGAAATACGGGAGATCCATAGATTATTTGACATATTTTATTTTTAATTTGTCTTTTTTGATGTAAAATATAATTGCTGCTGTTGATAAAAATTAGAATAAACTGCATCTCTTGATCGTCTGTCATTTTATGCATCCCCAGCAAGATTGCTTTTTTTAATGTGGTGTCTATATGAATACGACACTAGATGTCATGTAGCTTTGATTCAGTAACAGGGCTCTAATACAGACCTAACTTGTTTAGCAGTTATTTACTGTGCATCTGCTACGTGTTTGACGCATAGACTGATTGGCTGGCTCAGGGACTGGCGCTGTGCTTTAAAAACATGGAATGTTATCAGTTGAGCTTACTTTTTTCCTTTTTTAGTTATTCAAATCTTTTCAGGTGTTATAGCATGACCCTGTATTTCTCTCTTCCTCCTTCCCTTCTATCAAGTGTTTACAACAACAGGAAAAAAACTGGCTACGGCTCAGAATGTCTTAGGTCCTGCTAGGGTTCTAAGCCGTGGGCCCTAAAGAATGCCATCCACCTTTTCATTGCCTCCCTGTGTCTCCTTGAAAAATCTCTAGGTGTTGATGACCTGTAAAACAGTAGGTTAAAAGGGAAAAATTAGTAAAGCAACTAGCTTTGCATAACATTTATGTTTTTATATAATATTAAAATAAAATGTTATAAATGGCAAAATTATCATTAAATTTTTAACAAGTTATTGAGAATGTTTAAAGAGCAAAATATATTGTAGTAATCAGAACAAAAATAAATTAAACTATATGTATATTGTCTGATTTACATATTTCTTTGTTTACTTGTTCCAGAAAAAAATTAGGGCCACTTATAAAAATACACATACACACCAAAACAAAACAAAACAAAAAAACAAGACCACATAAAAATAGAACAAAAGGAGCCAAAGTGGAGCCAGCAGCAGGGCTTGCACATACGTACCTCAGAATCCTAGAAAGTTACTGCCGGCGGCATCAGCAGGAAGCCTGGTCGAGAACAGAACTCAATCCCGAAGGCCTGAAGGCAAAACTTTGTCCTAGTCCTTGGCTCGGCCCTAGCATCATGCCTGGTGCATGGAAGGTACCCAATAAATATTTGTTAAGTGAATGAATGGACTCAGGGAAAGTACAGTTCTTCTTAGTGCTAAGATAAATCAATACTAATTGTTTTCGAGAAGCCTCATAAACAGGACCCTCCTTAACGTAAATACATTGTAAGGAATAAGGAGCTCAAACCCATCCTTCCAGCTGTCATGACGATGAGATTCATAGAGCTGTTTCTTGTTGCTTCCCTCTGCAAGAACTACTGGCATCACACCAAGTCAGCTCAATAAAAGCAGGTTCACACTGGGCGTTCTCCGTATCAGCAGAATTTATAATGGACCTGTAGAAATACCTAACCCAGATCATACTTATAACTAATTGAAATGACTTATTTTCCTTTTAGAATACAAGATATCTTATGAAAACAATCTACCATGTATCTTTAGAGACAAATATTTGTGATTTAGAAACTAACCTCTTGATTTATGCCCCTCCCCCTCTATTTTGGAGATGTCAGAGATGTTTAGAATACTAACTTTATAATACTTAACTCAAGTTCTTGGAATCTGTCAATATACTCAAGAGTGGGTGAACATTTATCCAGTGGGTTCCCTGGAGATTGGAAAAACGAGATTGGAACACTAGAAGGAAAGGAGCTGGATTCTCTCCTGAAAGAGAATGGGCAAGATTTTTGAATTCTTGGTAGTTAACAAGCCAAGCAGCCTGTGAATTTTAAGAGGACAAGAGTCATTCCTTCCAGGCTGGGAAAGTGCATCTGTCTTGTGCTACTGAGCTCTTAGCTTTCCCCCGTCTGCCTCCCCAAACTCCTCCTGCTCCTGCAGTAACTGCACAGCACTACAGAGTGAGTGAGGGAAAAGGGAACACAGGTCACTGATCACCTTCTGTGATCTGGACGCTATGTGAGATGCTTTCTATATGTTATTCCTTCTAATCTTTATAATGGCCCTGCAAGGAAGCCCTCCTACTTTTCCAAACAAGGAAACGAAGGTTCTCAAGAGTCATAATACCCAGGAAGTGTGGAGCTGGAATTTGGAACCTCCTATGACTGGATCCAAACCCTTGGTCCTGCCACATGGCCTCCTTGTCCTTCAGAATAACAGAAATCGTTCCACTGAGAAATAGTACAGACACGGAACTCTGGTGACCAGATCCTGATCATTCCTGAGAAAACTGACAAAACTGAGTTTCTAAGTCTAAAGAGCTATGAAGCTGACTCTGGGTCTGGAATGACTTCCCCACCCAAGGTCTGTCACCTCCTTTGGCACTTTTTAACTGCATATCTTTGCTATGATTTGGCTCTTCCGAAAATGAACTCATTAATTTCTTACTTGTCTCTTCTTGTATGAGGTAATCTACTTAAATGTTTTTTACTTCCATGAATTATTCCAAATCTGCATCTCCTACTGCCTCTGCCTGAGTCTCCTACAAGCTTTTGCACTCATGTTCTTCTAATCAAACTCACCTTGTTCACTAAACCAACTTCTCCTGCACATGTTTGTTCTTTTGTTGCCACTACTGTCCACCAGGGCACTCCAGCTGAAGACCTGAATGCCATCCTTGTTCCTTCCCTTTTTCCCACTTCACTCCAAGACACATCAAATAGATCACTAAGCTCTGCCCCTTTTGCTCCCTAAATACTTCTCCATTCACCTCTTCCCCTCCATCCCACCACGACTACCCCACTTCAGGCCACCATGAGCTTTTCTCTAGACGATCACAACAACTTCCTATGTGATGCATCTGTTTCTCGTTCTGACCCTGGGGAGCCATCCTCTGCAACACAGCTGCGGGAGACCCATCTAAAATGCAATCTGATTACATCGATTTCAGTGTCAAACCTTTCTCTGCATCTAGGATTGCCTGCAAGAAAAAGTTCAAGCTCAGTAAGCAGATGTCCAAGGTCTTCTTCTCTCCCCACATTGTCACACACTTCATGCCCCAGCAACACCAGGGTTAAACTCACAAACTCCCTGTTAAATGATGCACATTTTCATGTCTCTCTTTGCTTAGGTTAGTCCATGTGCCTGGACTGTCCTGCGCCTGGCTTGGCAAATCCTTACCCATTGTTTGAAAGTCATGTGAAATGACTAAAGGAAAATGTTGACAACATACAAAAATTAAAATAGTCAAGTACGCCATTAGCAAAGCTAAAAGAAGATGTATTGGAAGGATATGTTTGCAGCATATGTAATAAATGGTTATCCAGAATTGATAACATAAAAGTTTGTTCACTTGTATCAACGGGCAGTTCATATGTAGAAATGCAAATATTTAATATACTTCAAAAAAGATATTTAGACTTTTCTTATTGATGACAAAGAAATGCAAATTAAAATGAAATCCCATTTTATGCTTATCAGTTTGGCAAATGTAAAATATTGATAATATTCAGTAGTAGCTAAAGTAAAAGCACTGTGAAATACTTTTTTTGCAAAGCAGTTTGATATATAAGATTTAAAATTACCAGTGGACCCAACAGTTCCAGTTTTAGAATTCCCTGCCTTGCTCTCCAATCCACCCCATCACCCTTTTCATCCCCACCCTAACTCCCACAAACAATTACAGAAGTACTTTAGGTACAAATGTTCAAGGATATTCATTGCATCATTGCTTGGTAAAACCTAGGTACCTGCCTACAGAAGAAAGCTTACACTATTGAAGAGTCATTTAAAAAACTAAGGTAGAACTATGTGGCCTGACATGGAAAAATATATTTCTATTAATATGTATATTAGTTATCTATTTCTGGGACAAATTACTCCAAAATTTAGCAGCTTAAAACAATGAACATTTCTTTATCTCACAGTTTCTATAGGTCAGGAATCTAGTAGTGGCTTAGCTGAGTTGTCCTGGCTCAGGTTTGCTCATGATATTGCAGATAAGCTGTCAGCGGGTCTGCAGACACCTGAAGCTCAACTAAGGCTGAAGGATCAGCTTCCAAAGTCACTGACATGATTGTCAGCAGGCCTCAAAGACACCATGGGGGACTGTCCATAGGCTGGGCATCCATCCCTACAGCATGGCATCTGCTTTCTTCCAGATTGAGTGATACAAGAAAAGAAAATCCAAGACGGAAGCCACGGTCTTTTGTAACCTAGTCTCAAGAGTGACTTCATCACTCTTCTGTATTTAATTGGTGTCTCAGGAGTGACATCACCACTCTCCTGTATTTTACTGGTTACACAGACCAATCATGGCACAGTGTGTGAGGGCTTAACCAAGCGTGTGAATTCTAGGAAGTGGGAGCTCTTCAGGGACTATCTTGGTTACCACAATATGCTTTTAGAAATAGCAACTTATAGAAAAATGCATATTTTATTTTAAATTTTGGGTTTTTTTAAAAGAGGGATTTAAGTATGTATAAATATATATACAAGAAAAAGTGAACAGCTTACGCTAAAATCTTAACAGTAGCCAGCTCTGTGTACTGGGCTTGGGGATGGGGAACATTGAAAACAGCATGTTCACTTACTTAGAAAGTTTGATTTCTTTTTATGTACTGTAACGAGCATGTGTCACTTTTATAATTAAGCATCATGAAATAAGACCATATTTCCTTCTGTGGGAAGCCTAAGCTGATCCTGCTGGCAGGCTGATTTTATTGCCCTCCTCAGCGCTCCCCTGTTTCTGCCACGAGCGCCCACTGCTGCATGGGCATCATCGTGCTGCCTCACCTCCACCTGTGAATCCTAAGGGCTGAGACAGGTGCTCAGCTTTGAGTCCTCTGTGGCTAACAGCCTGTGTAGCACAAAATACTTGCTCTGTGTGTTTGTTGCATGAATTTATGTAATGTCATCAATATTTATTATTGAGTAGCTCCAGAGATAATCGAAGGTGAATCTAGACCCTTGGTACCTTGATACCAGGAGGTCAAATAGCTTTTTGACCTTCAGATCTCCATTCTTGTTCAATTATCTTTGCTAAACACAATATTCTTATTTCTCTCCTTTTTCTTTGGGAGCTTATCTGGTAATTGGTGTGGGAGGTGGTGTTAATTTTTTCTTAATGAAAGTCTTCTTTTAATGAAAGTCCTAATGGAAAAGAATTATATGCAATAAAGTAGAGAA